AATATTTATATATTTATATAATAATTAATTAATTTATTTTTACTGTTTCTCTTTTTTTGTGTAGTTAATCGATTTAACAAATGAGCGGCTTAAAAAATAATAATAAATAATTACATCTGTTGTGATTAAATGAAATTATATTGCTATAATATTAACAAATATTATTAGTTTTTCATTGATGGTTAGATGTATTTACCGTGATCCTACGATGCACTCAATGAACTATATTTTACTTAACATTGTTATATAGTTATTTGGGTAATTGCAAATTTGGTTTACAGACGACATACGACTTGTAGTCATTTATTTTGTACAATTTTGTAGCAATGATCATCGTTGACCATAATAGTTCTATTGGGAAAACCATTCACCGTGGCAGTCAACGTGTTTTAACGGAGATTGCGAGGATATCGATGCTAGTGTATGAGAAAGTATGGAGTATGAAGGAAGATGTGTATATGTATGTGTATATGTGCGCTCGTAAGTATGTCTCTGCCCGTGTGATAGTTAAATATGTGTGCGTTGAAATTAAGTGACGAAATAAAAGATAAAACCGCGTAATAAGTTAGGAAAACGTTTTTATTATTTATTCTCTTACGTCGTATACACGTACACATAGTCGTAGAGAGCGGTTAATAGAATATAAGAAAGAAAGAAAGAGAGAGAGAGAGAGAGAGAGAGAAAATGAAAGAAGAAAAAATGAGAGAGAAAGAGAAAGAAAGAATGATGATGATCGCCCATCCGTAATTCTATGTAACGATGAGATGAACGAGCACACTTTAGTGTTTTTAGAAATTCGTTTAGAAAGCTTTTTCCCTCAACTTACCACTTCCGGTGGTTCAGCGAAGATATATAGAATTTTCTGCGACCGTGCCAACGTGTGTGATCTTTTGAAACGTATTTCTTACGTTATCAATACCGAAATTCACGTAGGCAAAGAAGAGAAAACAAGAAAAGGGAATACTAAAATAATGGTTTAACGAAAAAGAGAAACAAATTGGAAGAACGAATTGAAAATATATGGGAGAGATTAGAAACAAATAAAATCAAATAAAAAGTCTAATACTTGTACGTACAAATCAGTGAAATGCAAAAAAAAAAAAAGAAAAGTGCGCGTATGGGTGTCTCGTTTGTTTCGTAACGAGACGACAATTAGTGAAATACGGTGATAAAACGGAAATAATACGAAAGGAATCGGATAATGACGGAAAAAAAAATGTGAGGTGGAAGATGGATGATGAAAAGGGCAGAAGTATCGAACGGAGCGAAGTCACAAAAGTCTAATCTTTTTTTTTTAATATTGTTTAATACATATAGATATTTTTTCGGTTGCAATTAACAAGAAGAATATGAGTGTTAGATATCAAAATGAAAATGAAAAAGTATAATTTAGGGAAGATACGGCGGAGGTTCTCCAGCAGACCAGAGACCAGCCAACTTGACGTTTATTCATCGATATCGTCGCAAGGTCAGTCTCATATATGAATAGTTAACTTAACAATTATTCGTACAAATTGTGTTATCGTTTCTATATCGAATCCTTCTTTCCTATTAGATCTATTCGTATATACCGATTAGAGAAAAATCATTAATCAATCTTTTACCGTTTTGTATTGAGCTCCAATGTGCCAATAGCTTCTTGAAAATGATTCTAATTACAATTCGATACGTTTATCACATACCTAAAATTATTTTTATTCATTGATAAATTCTCTTTTCTCTCCTTCAGTCGAGCGAAGTAAATACTTTCCACTATCATGGCTACCGGTTTTAATCGAAGGAAGATGTTCTGCGTATTTTTCTAAAGGGAAACGCGTTGCAAAGCAAGTTTACGCGATCTTAAAACCGGTTCTTCCGATTAATCGAGCGAGTATCGTCGATAAAGAGAAAAAGATAGATAGTTAGAGATAACGAGAGAAAGAGAGAGAGAGAGAGAGAGAGAGAGAGAGAGAGAGAGAGAATGGAAAAGAATGAAAGAAATAGAGAGTGGGAGAGTGAGAGAGTGAAAGAGTGCACAGCATCCATTATTTCAATTTACATGCATCTTCCTTCGACGGTGAAAACGTGCTTTAATGATCTCGATCGAACTTCACCGGTATTATCTTTGAAATAATTCGCGTTCCCGGCACGACGACATTTTGTTTTTATAAATAATTTCATGTAGAATAACGGGGAGGGATGTAACAAAGAAATAAAGAAAAAAGGGGATTTAGCGTGGTGAAGGGGGTTGTTGTTGTCCGGGGGTTTGGATAAGGGAGAAAGGTATATTTTCGCGCACATTCGTCGATCCCTTCAAAATCGACTCCTGCTCCGCGCGACGTGAGGCCAAGTTACCAAGTGATGTAATACATAGTGTATTTTTGGAATAGGATGTTTTCGGCATGAAACCGCTTGGCAACTTAATGCCGTCCCGAAAGTGGGTTTACTGGCACGAGATCCTCTCGTCGCGAGCCAAAGTATCTTTCGTAGAAGAACGGCACGTAATTTTGAGAATAACAAAAAAAAAATAAATAAAAAATAAAAATAATTAAAAAAAAAAAAACAAACATAAGAAATAATAATAATAATAATAATAATAATAATAATAATAATAAAAATAATTCGAAAAAAAAAGTAAACGAAATAAAGACACTCGTTCGATCACCGTCCAAGCTTGCGACTAAAGTGTGTGGCATCACAATTTTGGGAAGAATAAAAAAAAGAAGCAAAAAAAAAAAAAGATTCGCGTTGCGGTATAATAATGCTTTGTCAAATTTTGAAGGAAACAAAAAAAAAAAAGGTAAAAAAGAAAAAAGAGAGAAAAAAAGATATTGAAAATGATTACGCTTTTCTTCGATTTTTGTGTCCATCGATATTTCTTGCGGCAAAATTTGGAACCCCCTTTAAAGAATATCGTCTGCCTTGATGGAACGTTTAAATAAAGGGACGCGTTAAATGTGTCAAGCGGTGTAACCAGTCGGCTCGAACACCGAGCGTGATAAGAACGTAAAGTTCCTCCGATAGTTCGGCCGAAATAAATTCGTCGCTAATAATGGAAGAATTCGATGAAATTCTGTACTCGGTGTTTTAATCCTAACCAGCCAAGGTACTCCGCCGCGGCGAAATATGTGCTGTGTTGTAAACTTAGGCTCGACATACGTTTAGTTTATACCTGTATACACACATATACACATTCATACATATATACACTGGTGCATACATACATAGAAACACACATATACACAAACAAATAAACACACATCAATAACGATATACGTAATGAACGATATTAATGAACACTTAATGATAATTATAATGATACAAGTAATAAAGATAATGATAACGGTAAAAATAAACGGGCGGCGCTGCTGATGGAAATATTAAATAGAAAAATGAAGTACACAAATGAAGAAAGATAAGAATAAAAAGATAAAAATGTCACGATCTCGAAAGTCGCTGTATAGAATGATGCTCGAAAAATAATGAATGAATGAATGAAAGAAAGAAAGAAAGAAAGAAAGAAAGAAAGAAAGAAAGAAAAAGAAATACGGGGAAAAAGAGTACATACATATTACGTAGAAATCGTATGCATTTCTTATGCATATACGAAATATATAAATATATAACAATATATAAATATAAACATACTCTTCGAAATCGTCTCCCCCTATTTCGTGTTGGAAAGATAAACGAACGTGAAAAACGTGTTTAACGATATACGTAATTAAATGATCGATTATTTCGAATCGGTCAGCCTTTCTTACACTCGAAAGATTTATTTATGGAAAATCTTTTTGCCCTTTTGAAAGCAACGAATCTGTCTATAGAGAAAAAGTTTCCGGCGATCGTTCGTTGGCAGTCTTTTTTTTCACCTGACTTCATATTTCATTGAGACGATTTAAAAGAAAATAAAAAAAAAAAAATTCCAAAATCTATGTCGTTTATTAGAACGAGATCATTTGAAAACGATTACGATAACGATAATAACATTTTTTGTTTTGTTTTGTTTTATTTCTCGGGTATATAATTATAAAGAGAAATACCGTAGGAGATCGTTAAAAGTATTTATCTAAAGACAGACGATCGATACGTGTATCGTTCATTTGACCGTGACATTCATTGATATAAATTGATCGCCGATACGAAATGATCGACGATCAAACGTACACATTCTCTCGTAGAAATTTAATCATCGAGTCGATGTTCGTGTACTTACTTACTTACTTACTTACTTACTTATTTACTTACATATATATACACCTACTGCGTAATACACGTGAATGGCATTCGAAAGTAGCGTAATCATAATTGGCTTGAAATAACGTCGCCTCGGAGAAAACGAATGGTATCGTGTTTGCATTGACCGTAAAACCATTAATTTCATTTCTTCTTCTTCTTCTTCTTCTTCTTCTTCCTTCTCCACCTACAGTTAAAAGTGTTCAGAAAAATTATATAAACATATTTTCTTCACTCATAGATTATTACCGTACCTTTCGCTATCTCGAATCGTTATCGGTGAGCTCGCGGTGCAACGAGAATGCTAGTGTGACTCTTATTCTCGATAACGATTTATAAACGCGTACGATAAATCGATTAACCTTAACAGTTTGAAGCAAAGATCCTTTCGAGCATTTCGTCGATCGGCCGCGACACGCGAGTTCATTCCAGATACATTAATCAGCGATAGGATCTATATGGGTCAGATAATAGTTGGCATTGAGGTGCCGAGGGTGCGGCTTT